AAACAAAGAAAAAGCTAAAAATAGATTAAAATACGCTAAGGATATGCTGAAAAATCTATCTAATATTAGATTAGATAGGATAATATTTTCAGATGAGTCAGCAATCCAAAGAGGCCGAGGATATAGAGGAGAATATGTAAGAAAACGCCAAAATAAGCGCCAAGGTCGAGAACAAGTTTCTACAGCCAATAGATGTAAGTTAAAAAAAATCCTAATAGGCTAAAAGTATCTATTTTTAGTCTAGTGTTTTATTAATATTTCAATCGATTTTTAGCTTGCTTACTAATAGAGTTATAGCTAGCGATATTACTATCCAAGTTTGGGGAGCAATTTGGATAGGTGGTAGATCTGATCTAGTAGTAATTCGGGCTCCAAATTCTTCTCAAACTTCAATAATCACCAATATATCCGTAAGGTTTTATTACCTTAAGTAAAGCCTAATATAAAACAAGGTAAGTAATATATATATTTTTATATCTAAGAATTAATCTAGCACACCCAATTAAAGAGCTATAAATCCCAAATTCGGATATATTATAGATATAACTAACTACTATCTAGGCTTGAAGTTTCAGCAGGATAACTTCAGAATGCATACTACTAAAAACGTTTTCAGCTGGTTTAAAAGAAATTCAATTAAAGTCTTCCCTCATCCACCTTACAGTCCAGATCTTAATCCAATAGAAAATGTGTGGAGTTTACTTAAAAACCATTTATCTAAAAGATCTACATCCTTTTTAGGCTTAGGTAATAACCAGAAGAGTATAGCGGCTTTTACTAGGGCTATTTTTGAAGAGTGGCAAGCTATTCCACAACAGGATATAGATAATTGTATTTTATCTCTACCTAGGCGTTGGCAAGCTGCAGTAGAAGCTAAGGGCTGGTACACTAAATATTAGCTTCTATTCCTAGCGAGAAATAAATATACTCTAAAAAGTCAGACTCTTCTATATATCACGTGATCTAACTAGTAAAGGTATACTATAACAGTCAGAGCTTAGAGATTAAAGATAGATCTATAATATATATTAGACTTAGACCTTTTTATATAAAAACAATAGAGTAATCTAGATATTTAGTTTATATTTATTCAAGCTTCTAGTTTGGGGATTTTTGTTCGCTTAGAGCTGCTGACTAAGCAGATAGTGGGTCCAATATGCCAAACTAGGAGATCTTGGCTTTCTAAATCTGCAATCCGTTTATTTGTAGCTATTTTTTCCAGCTATATATTAAAGTTTAAAAATAACAGCTTTTTGAGTGACGTTTTTTTCGTGTCACCCCTCTGTATAAAGTTGCGCTATTATCTAGGCAAGGATAACATAAGAATAGACGCGCTATCTTGCTAAGATTAAGATATGCTTAAGGACGAAGAGGATAAGCATGCCTCCTCTTATAAATTTACAATGCTAGTCCTAGCTTATACGCTAGACTACGTCCTAGCACTACTTATATAGACTTAAGAAACCTCCTTAGTGTTAGAAATACTACCTTAACCCCTAGACCTTCTAGCTTTAGTACAAGAACATTAGGTATAGGTAGCGCAGGATAACACTATCTACTAAGAAGTACTAGCCTCTATACGAGAAGGAAGACAATCGCTCTTTAGCACGCGCAAGGTTGCTATCTCGCTAAGTAACTATATAATTAACTAAGAAGAACAACTTTAATAGTGTAGACGTGTGTAGGTACTAGACTTTAAACTATTACGCATAGGAGTTATCTAAGTAGCTTACCTATCTCTTATAACTAAACATCCTAGACAAGAAGAGACCTATTAGATTGTTGTACAAGAATAGTACTAGCCTCACATAAGTGATAACATACAACGCTTTATATAGAACTGCGAGCTATACCGCAAAAGCACTCCCTAGCAGGATGGAAAGTTTAGTTACTTAAAGCCCCTACCTGTGCCTAGTCATACGTAGTAGCACCTTATAGTTAATTTTATTATAGGCCTTTCTAACTCTCTTAGAAACACAAACTTAATAGTAGTAAAAGACTAATTAGGGAAAGGCGTTATACTAGTCCCTATAAACAAGATTAAGATAATAGACGTTGCTTAGGCTTTCGTAAAAGAAGTCTACCGCTACTATAGCCTTTTATAGTCTATTACGTCTAACTGTGGCCCCTAGTTCGCAAGCTAACTATAGAAAAACATCTGCAAGCTACTAAATATTTAGCAGAATCTCTCTATAGCTTACTACCCACAAATAGATAGGATGATAGAACAAGCTAATAGTAACATAGAAGTAGTTGTATAGATCTTTTATAACTACAACTAAGACAATTAGGCTTAGCTTTGCCCCCTTCTAGAACTTATACTTAACTCCTATATAAACGCCTTTATAGGTATATCCCCCTTCTTTCTCTACTATAGTTACTATAATACTCTATTTCCCCTAAAAGAAGCTATCTTAGATAACTAAGAAGTAAGCGTAGCAGCTAAAGAGATAGTACGTACAATTAGTAATATAGTAAACTAGGTAGTTTTAGCAATATTATACGCCTAACAAGAGTAAGAGAAGTAGGTAAATAAATCTCACAAACTATCGCCTACTTATAAAGTAAGAGACTAGGTCTAGCTAGACTTATATAATGTATAAATAGCCTAGATAAGTAAAAAGCTAGACTAGAAAAGTAGAAAGTACTAAGTCGCCCGCGTATAGGACCTCTACTAGGTAGAACTTGTAGTGCCCTAGGAGACAAAATCCTTTTACGTAGACAAGCTAAGGCTAGCATCTAACAACCCCTTACTATTACAATAAATAGACGATAGCAGCCCTGCAGCTATTGTCGTACGAGAAGATGGAGAGGAAGAAGACTATTTAGAATAGCTTGTACAAGGCATCACGGACGAACTAATACGAAACAGAGAACTGCAATATCTTGTTATTTAGATAGGCTACCTAGAGGAAAGTTAAGAACCAGCTATAGCACTTAAAGACATAAAGGCCCTAGATAAATAGCTTGCCTAAACTTCCTCTATACAAAAACCTAATACCTAGCTATAAAATAGCTAGAGGTGAAAGCTACTTAATAAGTAATAAAGACCTAGCGCTACCTCTAGAGGCTAAACAATCCCTCTTAGTGCCTAGAAGACAACGCTTAGCTAGCGTATAGATAGATAAACTATCCCCTCCTCTTGCTGTATAATAGGCGCTATAGTCCTGCTAGATATAATTGCTATACGCACCCTCTCACTCTCTATAGTGTTACACGGGGTTGGGCTATACTTCTCTGATCTCGATCCGGGTTAGGGCGAGTAGACTTAAGCGGTAAGCCGTGCGATTGTTGTCAGGCGTTATTGTGGAAAAGAGTTATAGGATTTAACTAAAAGGTAAACAATCAATTCTATACTAAGATAGAATAACAAGTATCAATCTGTGTAAGAGATGAACTATTCTAAGTTAACCACAACGAGTGTAATAATGAAATCCAACACATTCTTATACCCATTGCTTTAGGTCCTGTCCTCCTGTGCCTCCCATCTTGGCGGGAGGTTTGGGAGGCGCATGGCCTCCCATCCGCGCTGGCCTCCCGGAGGCCACGCCTTGGCGGGATGCCAAGTCACGTGATCCGCGCGCCCCGCGCTGATCATTACCCGGGTGTCCTTTGACACCTTTGTTTCCCTTAGGCTGACTCCGCAACCCTTTCATGGAAACCTGTTGAGAGGAATCCTTCCTGTTTGTTCGTAACATTACCTCCCCCTTTAGGGCTATCGTCTCAATACCCTGGGATATTGTTTTCCCGTGCCGTGCGTCGTGGCGCCGGCTGCATATAAGGTCTGAGCCCGTCCACTCGCTGTAGTCGTCTCTCCCTGCTAGCCTTCCTAACCATGCCCAAGGTCCCGTCTTCCCGTCGTGTTCGTTCTGAGAACTCAACCCAGCAGCGTCAGTCTCGTGCTGACCGTATCCGTCAGCAGGGGAACGAAATGACTTTTCGTTGTAAGCGTTGCGAAGAGAAGAACCTTTATTGTTTCGTAGACACTGCAACTGGCCGTTGCGCTAGTTGTATTGCTATAAAAGCGGAGTGTAGTCTTTTTGTGACTAAAGAAGAGTGGGAAAAGGTTGAGGCTAACAAGCGTTCCAAACGCTTGGCCCTCCTTCGAGCTAAGGCTGAAGTTGCGCGGCTTCGTCTAGAAGTCGCTGAGACTAAGGCTTTGGAGCGGTCTTACGCTGACCATGATCACGCCATTCTGAGTCTCCAGGATCGCGCGAAAGAGCAGGCTGAAGGGGACTCTGCCCCTGGTACGAGCCTTCCTGCTGTCGAACCATCGCTACCCGGACCGTCGGCTGATCTGGGCGGGTTACAGGCTGATTATTCTTTCGATCCTTTTTCCCTTGATTACTTCCTTTCCCTCGAGGAGCCGGTCCTCGCTTCTTCGGACGCTTCCGATGGTATTCTTGTACCAGTAACTCGCTGTTCGTCAAGTTTCCTTCAGGTTCCCAAGTGTTATGGCTCTCGGGCCATCCCTTCCACTTGACCAAGTACTTCCACTGACCTCTGAACTTCCGCAGGTCTATAATTCCTTCGACTTCGTACTCGTCGTCTTCGAGCTCTATATCCGTTGCTAGCTCGGCATCTGGAGGTGCTGGTTCCAGGAGTTTCTTATGAAAGACTGGGTGGATTCGCATGCCTTGTGGGAGTTTTAGCTTATAATTTACTTTCTCGACTTCCTCTAGGATTTCAAATGGTCCTACTTAGAGGTTGTCCAATTTCCTGCATGGTCGTTTAGTTTTCAGGTTTTGTCTTGACAAGAAAACTTTATCCCCCTTCTTAAAGGTTAGTCCCTCAATCTTTTGCTTATTCGCAGCCTTAGATGCCGTGAGGTTCCGCTAAGCTATGTTCTTGCTTAATTCTTCATGTAACTCCTGCATAAGACGTGCCTTGTCTTCTGCGCCTATCGCGATACTCTCAATATCTTTTGGGTCTCGATAAGCCACCGGCTCATACCCGTAGTTCGCGTAGTGTGGTGACTTCTTTGTCGTTGCTGACTTTGAGCTGTTGTAGGCCAATTGTGCTGTCGGCAGGAGTTCAACCCAGTTGTCCTGCAGCTTGTTGGCGTACATTCGTACGTACTACTCCAAAGTTTGATTCGTTCGTTCCGTCTGGCCATCTGTTTCTAGGTGGAAGCTAGTCGATAGCTTTTTCTTGACTCCCATTTTTGCCAGGAACGTGTCCTAATACTTGGACGTGAACAGCTTATCTCTGTCCGTTATAAATTCTTCGGGCATTCCATACTCCGATATTAGTGCTTTTGTGACTTTATACGCGCATTCCTCTGCCGTAATAGTCTCTTCCGTGGGCACAAACTTCGCCGCTTTAGTCAATCGATCCACGATTACCAATATCGTGTCGCAAAGTCTTGCGGATCCAGGTTCTCTTGATACCAGGAGCTTCACTATGAAGTCCATCGTAACACTAGTCCATGGTCTTGTTAGAGGCTGTAAGGGTTGCAACAGGCCATAGGGCTTATGTCTCTTAGGCTTGTTCTAATAACATGCCAAACAGTTGCCTAGGATATCCTGCACCTTCGCTCGCAAGCGTGGTATAGCAAATACCTTAGCCAGTCTTCTAACCATTTCTTCTAATCCTGCATGTCCGTATTCCAGGGACTCGTGCAGTTCCTTAATGAGACTCGATCTCATGTGCGGGGGTACATATGTTCGGTCCTTTGAAACCATATCTTGGTACTCCTTTTCATCGTTTAACAGTTCCTCGGAGCCTTCGTCTTCGGGCTCGAACTGCCAGCTGGCTGCTTTTTGCTGCCATTGCTGCTGTAGCGTATCTACCTGCACGGCCACCTTAGCTACCCTAGCTAGTTCCGGCTGGTTGTATCTCAAGCTGCCGTCGGGCATCTGCTTGAATACTGCATCATGTGGTTCTTTGTGATCATCTTCTCGTAGGTCTGACCTACGACTCAGAGCATCCGCTGCCCCGTTGAGCGATCCGGCTCGGTGGGTGATCTTGAAGTCGAACTGAGCAAGCATCTCAGCCCATCGGACTTGTCGTCGGTTGAGTTTCTTGGTTGTCATGAAACTCGTT